CTGACACTGATCCCACAACACACTGATCACATTGACACTGATCCCACAACACACTGATCACACTGACACTGATCCCACTACACACTGATCACATTGACACTGATCCCACAACACACTGATCACATTGACACTGATCCCACTACACACTGATCACATTGACACTGATCACACTGCACACTGACACTGATCACACTGCACACTGACACAGATCCCACTACACACTGATCACATTGACACTGATCCCACTACACACTGATCACATTGACACTGATCCCACTACACACTGATCACACTGACACTGAATCCACTACACACTGATCACATTGACACTGATCACACTGCACACTGACACTGATCCCACTACACACTGATCACATTGACACTGATCCAACTACACATTGATCACATTGACACTGATCCCACTACACACTGATCACACTGTCACTGAATCCACTACACACTGATCACATTGACACTGATCCCACAACACACTGATCACATTGACACTGATCACACTGACACTGATCCCACTACACACTGAGCACATTGACACTGAATCCACTACACACTGATCACACTGACACTGATCCCCCCACTACACACTGACACTGATCCCACTACACACTGATCACATTGACACTGAATCCACTACACACTGATCACACTGACACTGATCCCACTACACACTGACACTGATCCCACTACACACTGATCACATTGACACTGATCCCACAACACACTGATCACATTGACACTGATCCCACTACACACTGATCACATTGACACTGATCACACTGCACACTGACACTGATCACACTGACACTGATCCCACTACACACTGACACTGATCCCACTACACACTGATCACATTGACACTGAATCCACTACACACTGATCACATTGACACTGATCCCACTACACACTGATCACATTGACACTGATCCCACTACACACTGATCACATTGACACTGATCACACTGCACACTGACACTGATCCCACTACACACTGATCACATTGACACTGATCCCACTACACATTGATCACATTGACACTGATCCCACTACACACTGATCACATTGACACTGATCCCACTACACACTGATCACACTGACACTGATCCCACTACACACTGATCACATTGACACTGATCCCACTACACACTGATCACATTGACACTGATCCCACAACACACTGATCACATTGACACTGATCACACTGCACACTGACTGACACTGATCCCACTACACACTGATCACATTGACACTGATCCCACTACACACTGATCACATTGACACTGATCCCACTACACACTGATCACACACTGACACTGAATCCACTACACACTGATCACACTGACACTGATCCCACTACACACTGATCACATTGACACTGATCCCACTACACACTGATCACATTGACACTGATCACACTGACACTGATCCCACTACACACTGAGCACATTGACACTGATCCCACTACACACTGAGCACATTGACACTGATCACATTGACACTGAATCCACTACACACTGATCACACTGACACTGATCCCACTACACACTGATCACACTGCACACTGACACTGATCCCACAACACACACTGATCACATTGACACTGATCCCACAACACACTGATCACATTGACACTGATCCCACTACACACTGATCACACTGACACTGATCCCACTACACACTGATCACATTGACACTGATCCCACAACACACTGATCACATTGACACTGATCCCACTACACACTGATCACATTGACACTGATCACACTGCACACTGACACTGATCACACTGCACACTGACACAGATCCCACTACACACTGATCACATTGACACTGATCCCACTACACACTGATCACATTGACACTGACTGATCCCACTACACACTGATCACACTGACACTGATCACACTGCACACTGACACACATTGACACACTACACACTGATCACATTGACACTGATCCAACTACACATTGATCACATTGACACTGATCCACTACACACTGATCACATTGTCACTGAATCCACTACACACTGATCACATTGACACTGATCCCACAACACACTGATCACATTGACACTGATCACACTGACACTGATCCCACTACACACTGAGCACATTGACACTGAATCCACTACACACTGATCACACTGACACTGATCCCACTACACACTGACACTGATCCCACTACACACTGATCACATTGACACTGAATCCACTACACACTGATCACACTGACACTGATCCCACTACACACTGACACTGATCCCACTACACACTGATCACATTGACACTGATCCCACAACACACTGATCACATTGACACTGATCCCACTACACACTGATCACATTGACACTGATCACACTGCACACTGACACTGATCACACTGACACTGATCCCACTACACACTGACACTGATCCCACTACACACTGATCACATTGACACTGAATCCACTACACACTGATCACATTGACACTGATCCCACTACACACTGATCACATTGACACTGATCCCACTACACACTGATCACATTGACACTGATCACACTGCACACTGACACTGATCCCACTACACACTGATCACATTGACACTGATCCCACTACACATTGATCACATTGACACTGATCCCACTACACACTGATCACATTGACACTGATCCCACTACACACTGATCACACTGACACTGAATCCACTACACACTGATCACACTGACACTGATCCCACTACACACTGATCACATTGACACTGATCCCACAACACACTGATCACATTGACACTGATCACACTGACACTGATCCCACTACACACTGATCACATTGACACTGATCCCACTACACACTGATCACATTGACACTGATCACACACTGACACTGATCACACTGACACTGATCCCACTACACACTGAGCACATTGACACTGATCCCACTACACACTGATCACATTGACACTGATCACATTGACACTGAATCCACTACACACTGATCACACTGACACTGATCCCACTACACACTGATCACACTGCACACTGACACTGATCCCACTACACACACATTGACATTGATCCCACATTGATCACATTGACACTCCCACTACACACTGATCACATTGACACTGATCCCACTACACACTGATCACATTGACACTGACACAACACTGATCACATTGACACTACACACTGATCACATTGACACTGATCACACTGCACACTGACACTGATCACACTGCACACTGATCACATTGACATTGATCCCAGTACACACTGAGCACATTGACACTGATCCCACGACACACTGATCACATTGACACTGATCACACTACACAAATACAAAACAAAATATAGAGTGCAGCAGTCAGGGTCTACCCTCTGTTCACATCAGTGTCCACCAGTTATATCTGTGTCCCCCCTTCTATCAAAGTCCCCAACATTTCCCTATACATCAGGGTTCCAAGAGTCCCTCCTTACATCAGAGATCACCTATACATCAGAGTTCTTTTTTACATCAAAGTCCACAGACTCCCTCCTTACACAAGAGTCCACAGAGTTCCCACTTACATCACAGTCTACAGAGTTCCCCCATACATCGGGGTCTACATAGAGATCCTCCTTACATCAGAGCCCACAGAGCTCCCCTTTGCATCAGAGCCCACAGAGCTCCCTCTTACATCAGAGTCTGCAGGGTTCCCCTTTATATGGCAAGAGGGAACTCTGCAGACCCTGATGTAAAAGGGAACACTGTGAACTCTGGTGCAAAGGAAATTTTGATGTAAGGGAGTCTCTGGTCACCAAAGCCCCCCTCCCCCCATGCACATGAGTCCTCAGAGTTCCCTCTTACATCACAGTCCACAAAGTTCTCCCTAACCCCTGGTTCACATCTGTACGGCCGATGTGGGCCACGATTTTCTTGGGCACGAGAGCCCAACCTCTGCCCTACTGACACCATCCCCTGCCCTACTGACTCTGTCCACACACCATCCACTGCCCTACTGACACCAACCTCTTCCCTAGTTATGCCTTTAGTTATACATGTAACACTACCCCCTCAGGAGTTGCAAGAAGACTTGGGTCCCCCTGTAGTCCTGCACAGCCAGGTGGCACACAACTTTACATAGATTTGCATCCAGAGACAGATATCAGTCCTTGAGCTTTGGTTTTGTTGTTTTATTTAGGGGATTTGAACTGGGATAGGGTTAGGGGTGTATAGGATGCCCAAGGATACTGATAAACTGAGAACAATCTTACTGGAACTATTTACAAGCCTTCTCTGCAGCACAGTCTCTGATGGAGAGCTAGCCAGTGTCTCCCTAATGTACTACCCCAGACCCTAGATGAAATTCTCCTCTTCACCTGGCAATCTGGAGGTATCCCTGAACAGGGGATCTGGTTCCCGTCACTCTAAGAAATAGTCACTGGTAGGCGGCTGATCTGGTTTCCCACCAGAGTGCTCCTTCCCCTATCTACCCAGGGGGTGTAAGTGTACTCACTCAGATCCTCTCCTGTACAAGATCCTCCTGTTGGTGGCTGCTACCAGGACTATCGGCTGGGCCATTCCATCCCCGCCATACAGGTGGCCTTCTCTCAGGGGGCAGGTGATCTCCTAGTTTTTCTCCTTTCCAGCTCCAGGCCTGCAGGTAGGCTCCATCCCTCTGGTCCTCCTTGCTGCCTATTGCAGTCTACATCTCCCTTTCTATCTTCTACCCAAACTCTCCCTCTCCAACTGAGCAGGCTTCAACACTATTAAGGACGCCACAGCCCCTTGCCAACCTTCTGTTGGGGATTGGCTAGGGTCCTTCAAAAGTGCAGCCAGCCACTCCTCAAATCCACCCACTGCCCCTAGGGCCTTCCTCCAAAGAGCAGTGGGAAATTTCAGAGGGGTTGGTCTGCAGAGCCTCTCAGCTTCTGACCACATTTAACCTACCCTGCTATCTCACCCAGGCTACTACTCAGCCTTCAACTGAAAATTTGTATCTAGCTCAACAAGGGGGTGCTACATACACTATATTGCCAAGACTATTGGGCCAGCCCTCCAAATCATTGGATTCAAGTGTTACAATCGCCTCCATGGCCACCGGAGTACAAAATCAAGCACCTAGGCATGCAGACTGCTTCTACATACATTTGTGAAAGAATGGGTCACTCTCAGGAGCTCAGTGAATTCAAGCGTGGTACCGTGATAGGTTGGCACCTGTGCAATAAGTCCATCCGTGACATTTCCTTGCTATTAAATATTCCACAGTCAACTGTTAGTGGTATTATAACAAAGTGGAAGCAACTGGGAACAACAGCAACTCAGCCACGAAATGGTAGATCACATAAAATGACAGAGCGGGGTCAGCGCATGCTGAAGCACACAGTGCACAGATGTCGCCAACTGTCTGCAGAGTCAATAGCTAAAGACCTCCAAACTTCATGTGGCCTTCAGATTAGCACAACAACAGTGTGTAGAGAGCTTCATGGAATGGGTTTCCATGGCTGAGACCATGTATCACCAAGTGCAATGCAAAGCGTTGGATGTAGTGGTGTAAAGCACGCCACCACTGGACTTTAGAGCATGGAGATGTGTTCTCTGGAGTGACCAGTCATGCTTCTCTGTCTACCAATCCGATGGAGGTGTCTGGATTTGGCGGTTGCCAGGAGAACGGTACTTGCCTGACTGCATTGTGCCAAGTGGAAAGTTTGGTGGAGGGGGGATTATGGTGTGGGGTTGCTTTTCAGTGGTTGGGCTTGGCCCCTTAGTTCCCGTGAAGGGAACTCTTGAGGGGTCAGCATACCAAAACCTTTTGGACAATTTCATGCTCCCAACTTTGTAGTTGGAGTTTGGGGATGGCCCCTTCCTGTTCCAACATGACTGCACACCAGTGCACAAAGCAAGGTCCATAAAGACATGGATGAGCGAGTTTGGGGTGGAGGAACTTGACTGGCCTGCACAGAGTCCTGACCTCAACCCCATAGAACACCTTTGGGATGAATTAGAGTGGAGACTGCGAGCCAGGCCTACTCGTCCGACATCAGTACCTGACCTCACAAATGCATTTCTGGAAGAATGGTCAAACATTCCCATAGACACCCTCCTAAACCTTGTGGACAGCCTTCCCAGAAGAGTTGAAGTGGTTATAGCTGCAAAGGGTGGGCCAACTCAATATTGAACCCTACGGACTAAGACTGGGATGCCAGTAAAGTTCATGTGCGTGTAAAGGCAGGCCGACCAATACTTTTGGCAATATAGTGTACATGTAATGCAGGATCCCATATCTTTCCTGTCCCAACCACCTCATTTCATGATGGAACATCACCGTGAATTCTCTGCGGATTTCCTCGTGGCACCACTCATAATCACAAACTTTTTACAAAATTTCCCAGGAGACCTTGTAGCTGAACCTCGGAGATTCTTGCACTGGATTTTGATGGCTTCCTGGTATGAGATGAGCTGTCCTGCAGACAGAGGCCTGGTTTGCAGCGTGCAGTAATCTGCAGAAATATCCGTGCCGTTCTCCAGGATTCCAGGCCCTCCACAGCTGGCACAGGACAAACACAGCTGTACACATTGGCAGCACAGTGCAGAGTTAAACAAACAGAACCTGGACTCCTCTACGTCCTCCTCTACGTCCTCCTCCCACAGCCCTCCACCCCGCTCTGTATACAGGGACAGTCTGCACAGTAAGGTCCCATGTACACTGGATGTTTTTTTCCTCCTGGACACCTATGCTGCAGGGGAGGAAAAAGCAGCATTAAAAACGCACTTAAAGCAGCGTTAAAGTGCGTCAAGCGATTGGCGTTTATTCATTTCATCGGCCAGAATATTAAAGCAGCTCTAAACCCAAAAATGTAATATATTGCAGCTTATATTAGATGTGGTGGCTGTATTCAGGGCTGTGGATAAGGGGGCGCTACTGGTCCTCCTTTTACGGGGCCTGAAAATTTTGAAAAAAAAACACATTTTTTCTTAGTTTTTGTTATAACATTTTGTAAATAAGTGATTTTTCTCCTTCACTGATGTGCGCTAATGAGGCTGCAGTGATCTACACTGTTGGGCACTGATAGGTGGCACTGATGGGTATTGACAGGCATCACTGATGGGCACTGAAAGGCAGCACTGATACATGGCACTGATAGGCGGCACTTACTGGCACTGTTAGGTGGCACAGACTGGCACTGATAGGCGACACTGACAGGCACTGATAGGCAGCACTGATGCGCACTGATAGGCAACACTGACTGGCACTGATGGGTGACACTGAAAGGCAGCTCAGATGGGCACTGATATGTGGCACTGATGGGCACTGGCACGAGGCACTGATGAGCACTGACACAAGGCACTGATGGACACTGACAGGTGGCACTGATGGACACTGACAGATGGCACTGCTGGGGCTACACTGATCATCAGGGCACACTGATCATCAGTGCTCTCATGATCAATGTACATGTCCCCTCCAAGGAATGCCGATTACCGGCTCTCCTCTCGAGCTGTCAGTGTGACAGCTCAAGAGGAGAGAAATGCCGATAACCGTCTTTTTCCTGTTTACATGTGATCAGCTGTGATTGAACACAGCAGATCACATGACTGAGCCGACATCTTCGGCTCTTTCTGTAGATCGGTGATCCGCTGTGTCTGCGGGACACAGCGCACCGCCGAACGCCACGCTGCGCACTCCCTGAGCCACGCATGTGCGGTGAGAATGGGAGGACGTCATATGACGTCCTTCCAGAACGAGAGAACCACCTTGCATATTACTATATGGCGGGCAGGAGGCGGTTAAATACACTAACAAATTGAAGCCGAAATCCAGCTAACACTTTATAATCACTTACAGCAAACATTTTTATCTCTTTGGGATAAGGGCCGGCTTACACCACTGTTTCTGTGTTCCGGGTGCATAACTGCATGAGTGTTATTGAGGCGTTTCGGTGCCTTTTTATTGCATTTCTGTGCATTTTTTACCCTCTTTTTTCTACTTCCTCTATCATCTGTCCTCTTCTTCATCTCATTTGAGGACATGTGCATTGCAATGCATTTTTAGTGCATTTTACCGCATTCCATACAGAAAAAATATGCAACTTTTGTTGACTGCACTGCAACATGCTGCCCTGGTGTGAACTAGGGCCGTTGGAATCCAGGTTAAATGCTGTGCATGTGTTTTTGATGCAGAATAAAAACGCACTGGATTACATCTGGTGTGAACCTGCTCTGAATGTTTTACATGAATAAATAAAAGCTGATTATTGTAAGCGCCCCTGCCAGTGTTAAATGGTTTGTCTCGTTGGTGTAATTGATACATCTGGAAAACAGCTTTTTCTTTTAAAAAATAACAAACTTACTAGCTGAATCAAGAGATGAAAATAGAAAGCCTAAAAAAAGAAAACTAACGCAGCCATCACATCTAAGAATTGGTCAGCTGCGATATAATAAATGTTTTTGGGTTTAATATCATTTAAATTTATTCTGGCCTTTGGAATAAATGAACATCTAAGCGCTTGACACTCCTAGCGCTAAAACGCGTTTAGGTAAATCAAGCATTTTTTAATGCTGAACACACTAGCCCTGTTTTTTTTTCTGGCTTTAACCCTTTTGCTGCCAGAGCCGTTTTTGCACACATGTTGAAAAAATCATTTTAGGCCTGAAGATTACACAAAACCCCCAAAACATGATATATTTTCTGAAATCAGACACACTAGAGAATAAAATAGTGATAGTTCCAATTATTTGTCACATGATATCGCAAGGCAAACAAATGGAATAAATTACCCTATTTTTTGCGTAGAGTCAATTGATACCCAACATGCCAAAGCTTAAATTTGTGTGCGCTCATGAAATGGCGACAATCCTCCGTGCCCTATATTTTGATGCTTCAAAAGCCCCATATATGTCATTAGCTTAGCGTTACGGAGGAGGTCTCGTGCTAGAATTATTGCTCTCGCTCTGATATGTAACATGTATATCACAATGGACATTTTCATGTGTAGACGCCCCCCCCCCCCCAACCCACGCATGCGTTTACATGTGCACCTGCATATTTTGCATATTTTTCTAATAAAAAAATTTTTTGTTTGCTTACATTTTTTTTTCATTATTATAATTATTATTACACAGGATTTATATAGCACCAATAGTTTGCTCAGCGCTTTACAACATAACTGGAGACAATACAGCAACAATACAGTTCAATACAAGAGAGTTAGGAGGGCCTGATCCTGGGAGCTTACAATCTAGTCCTCTATGTGATGATTTTTTGGTGACAGTTTCTCTTTATTGAGACATACGGGGTCTAAAAGACACCACATGTCATCTCTGGGCTCCACTGAATGTATTACAATGCAGATCGCATTGCAATACATTCCTCCCCAGCTAGAGTAGTGACAGAAGTGATCTGGAAATGATGTCATACACGGCGCTTTCTGGGTCACAGCAAGAAGGGGAGGGGAGGTCAAGAAGGGGAGGGGAGGTGAAGTGCGTCCACTTTCCTTCTCTCCCCTCCACCCATGTCGGCCCCGGGCCCGTAGATGGGCAAGCTTAGCCTGGATTAAATGGCGGAACACGCATGCGCGGGGGGGGGGTGCTGTTACCAGGGTCTGTGGAAGCAATCAGGCAGCAGCGCAGGATTGTGTGAAAAACTCCCCCGCTGTCAGGTCCATATGACATACAGACCTGCCAAGTGAAAGGGTTAAATGCCTATAAATGCTTATGTGTGCATGGATACATAGACTAACATTGAGGGGTGTTTAGAGGCAGATGAAAACCCGTAAAAAACACCTCTGTAAGCGGTATTTCAAACGTCTTGTGTGCTTGAAGACTAAAGAAGAACTTCCATTAAAGAAAAAAAAAAGAAAACCACTTTCCTAGAATACAGAAGAAAAACTTCACTTTCCACAAATACTCGCATTATCGCCCCACCCCAAAACGCACAATATAAGAAACAAATGAATAACTGACCTATAAATGTGAAAACGTTTTGGCTGCAGTCCTTCATTGAGGTTTTCATCTAACTTGAACTTTTATTACCTCGTAACACTGTATACCCAACAGTCTTGACGTGACACCAATCTTTCTCTATTCAATTAAAAAGCCTTTTTTATGACAATCAATTTTTAAATAAAGTCCACAAAAAAATTAAAATCCACAAAAAAAATAAGCCCACAAAAAATATATATTACTCTTCCGTGTCCAACTTGCACCTCCACACAAATCCAGATAAAGTGTGTACCTCAAATAAATGGAAAACTACATTAGTGCATTACCTTAACCCCTTCCTGTCCGGACACTTTTACCCCCTTCCTGACCAGGGCAATTTTCAGCTTTCAGCGCTATCACACTTTGAATGACAATTGCGCAGTCATGCAACACTGTACCCATATGAATTTTTTACCATTTTTTTGAGAGAGATAAAGCTTTATTTTGGTGGTATTTATTCACTGCTGGGATTTTAATTAATTTTTTTTGCTATGTAAATGAAAATGTCCAAAAATTTTGAAAAAAGTGTTTTTCTTATAAAATTTTGCAAATAAATAATATTTCATCATAAATCTTGGCCAAAATTTATTCCGCTATCTTTTTAGTAAAAAAAAAAATAAGCCAAATTAGTTTATAACCAAAAATTATAATTTTTAAACATTTTTTTTTTTAATATTATTATTTATGGGTTTTTTTTTTTTTTTACATACTGTCACCCTAGCAGTACAGTGTCGCCATGGTGACACTGTACTACTTGTGGGGGGTGATGAAGATTTTTTTTTACACTGATTGCTTTTACACCCAAATAGGATGTAAAAGTAATAATTTCTCTTTCTCTCTGTCTGCATTCGTGCAGCCATTGATAACTACTGAGTGAGCTGTGATTGGTCACAGCTTGTCACATGGTACAAGGCTGTGGTGAATAGTACCATGTGACCTCTGTGATCATTCACAGATTTCATACGTAATAAGCAATGATGTCAGAAGTGACATCTTGCTTACATCTTTGCATGTGATCACTGATTGGCCAATCAGTGATCACATGATCGGGACCTGGTACAGAGGTCCCGTCCGACAATCGGTGTTTCACTGTGTCCAGAGGACACAGCAGGCACCGAATCTCGGTGCTGCGCGCTCCCAGGGAGCGCGCACAAGCAGGGTGCGGGGAGGCTGTTTATAAACGGCCACCCGACCCTGCACTGCCACCATCTGGCCGTTTATATACAACGGCTGGACAGGAGGTGGTTAAATAACAGCTGGTATATACTTTACCAAACAATAAGTATATACTTCACACAAAAAGGTGCCAAAATAAAACAAGATTCAAATCATGAGCAACACGTGAATCGTGAAATCACACCGTGTACACAGTAAATAAATAAATGTGAAAAATCAGTGTACACTCTTAAACAAATAAAATAAATGAACACACAAAATGAAAAATAAAAAATAAATAAATAGTGCACTCTTCTATAGCTGCAAAGCATAAAATTACCCTCTCAGAGTAATAAGCCTAGGTGGAGTAACCCTGGACACTCACTCCAATGTTGTAGTCACTTCCTGGACTCTCACTCCAATGTTGTAGTCACTTCCTGGACTCTCACTCCAATGTTGTAGTCACTTCCTGGACTCTCACTCCAATGTTGTAGCCGCTTCCTGGACTCTCGCTCCAATGTTGTAGCCGCTTCCTGGACTCTCGCTCCAATGTTGTCGCCGCTTCCTGGACTCTCGCTCCAATGTTGTCGCCGCTTCCTGGACTCTCCCTCCAATGTTGTAGCCGCTTCCTGGACTCTCCCTCCAATGTTGTAGTCGCTTCCTGGGCTCTCCCTCCAATGTTGTAGTCGCTTCCTGGACTCTCCCTCCAATGTTGTAGCCGCTTCCTGGACTCTCCCTCCAATGTTGTAGCCGCTTCCTGGACTCTCGCTCCAATGTTGTCGCCGCTTCCTGGACTCTCGCTCCAATGTTGTCGTTGCTTCCTGGACTCTCCCTCCAATGTTGTAGCCGCTTCCTGGAGTCTCGCTCCAATGTTGTCGCCGCTTCCTGGACTCTCGCTCCAATGTTGTCGTCGCTTCCTGGACTCTCGCTCCAATGTTGTCGCCGCTTCCTGGACTCTCGCTCCAATGTTGTCGTCGCTTCCTGGACTCTCACTCCAATGTTGTAGCCACTTCCTGGGCTCTCCCTCCAATGTTGTAGTCGCTTCCTGGACTCTCCCTCCAATGTTGTACTCACTACCTGGACTCTCCCTCCAATGTTGTAGCCACTTCCTGGACTCTCCCTTCAATGTTGTAGCCGCTTCCTGGACTCTCGCTCCAATGTTGTCGTCGCTTCCTGGACTCTCGCTCCAATGTTGTAGCCGCTTCCTGGACTCTCGCTCCAATGTTGTCGCCGCTTCCTGGACTCTCGCTCCAATGTTGTCGTCGCTTCCTGGACTCTCACTCCAATGTTGTAGCCACTTCCTGGACTCTCCCTCCAATGTTGTAGCACTTCCTGGACTCTCCCTTCAATGTTGTAGCCGCTTCCTGGACTCTCGCTCCAATGTTGTAGCCGCTTCCTGGACTCTCGCTCCAATGTTGTCGTCGCTTCCTGGACTCTCGCTCCAATGTTGTCGCCACTTCCTGGACTCTCGCTCCAATGTTGTAGCCGCTTCCTGGGCTCTCCCTCCAATGTTGTAGC